GGGGGGGGGGGGGACAGACGACGGTGTGTCCTCCACACAGGAGAGCTGGGGGGGTTCCTGAGACCCCCCCTCCCTCTGAAAGGAGAAATAGCAAAAGTAAAACAAGTCACGCAACTCCTATGGGGAGAGCCCGGAGGGAAGAGAAAGAAACGGCCACGAGAAAGGGCCAGCGGGGCGGGAAAGGACGCCCACCTCAAGGGACCCGCTGTCCCTCCCCCCCCTCGCCCGCCCCCGACGCTCGGAGGCAAAAGCCCCCTCACCTCAGCTCTCGTTTGGGACGAAACGGCGGCGGCGGCGGTAGCTCGGCTCGCTCCTATCCCTCGGCTCAGTGACTAAAGGGAAAGGGCGTCCGGAATCCGGCATTTATCCCTGCCGCCCGCCGGCGAGAGAGCGCAGAAGCGGCCAGGCGGCACCCACTGCTCTTTCCTCACTCCCCCGTCTCCTCCCCTCCTCCGCCACAACGCCCGCCTCCTCTCGTCCATCCCCACCGCGTCCCGCCCTTGCTCGGGAGAGGGCGCCGCCAGAGGGCCTCTCCTCCTCGCCTGCTTCGGCCTCAGCCGCGTCCCCCTCGTTCCTTCCAGGAGGGCAGGCGTTTCCTCGGCCCGGCAAGGGAGCTTTTTTTTTAGAAGGGGGGTTTAACACAGCCGGTCCCAATTTTCAGTGAAGTTGGTCAGAGCTCAGGTTCCCGAGAAATGTCACCTCATCAGTGGAGGGAAAGACTTACCTGCGTTCGAATATAGAAAAAAAAAGTATTCACATTGAAAGGCTGGTGAGGCAAAATGAGTGTCTCACTCACTCACTCACTCACACAGGATGTATGCATATACATCCATGTGCAATCCATGTATGCTGCATGTTCATATTGCCTCAGGAAGTTCTGAATGAGAATTTTATAGCTACAACTTTTAATTGTTCCAGGTATAGGAAATGATTACAACAATGCAATGCAAGAGAATAGCATTAAGTGAAAGAGTCAAATAATAAAACATCAAGTGTCAGGATGTCTCACTGAAAATCAGGGCCAAGATCATCCATGCCATTGTATTCCTGGTTAATTATGTACAGGTGGTAAAGCTTGGCAGCTAAGAAATCTGGCAGGGGGAAAATGCTTTTTTTTTTTTTTTTTTTTTTTTGAAGCAAAAATGGTGGAAGAGAGCTTTGAGCATACCCTGGATTGCCAGAAAGATGAACAAGTAGGTTCTAAATCAAATCAAGTAGGAGCTTTCTCTGGAACCAAAAAGAAAAAGAAAAAGAAACACGAGTCCATTGTACTTTGGGCACAAGATTTGTTGGAAAAGACAGTGATGCTAGGGAGAGTTGAAGGAAGTAGGAAGAGCGAGAGACCAAATAAGAGATGAACTGATTCCATAAAGGAAAACACAGCTTGAGTTTACAAGAGCTGAGAACAGCTGCTGAAGACAAGATATTTTGAAGGTTACATGGGATCACCATATGTCAGTGACAACATGATACATAACAACAACAAATAAATAATCTATTACAGTATTTTAAAGTCATGGAGTATATGCAACCTTCAGCAAAAGGTTGTAGCATGGATTGGTTCTGTTTAGGATACTAGTCAGCCATAGCTTTTTAAAAGATACCCTGTTTGAGGCATCACCTATCTTCTTAATTTTATGTTCACTTTCCCAATACTTGGAGTCTGACTACACTGTCAATTAACCTGTTTGGTATACTGCAGGGATGGGCTGGCTTGCTCCTAAAAACAGTGATCACATAACGTCTTTGCTGGAGCAAACCAGCCCAACCACAGAGTGTTACTGCCTGCACCTGTCTGGCCCACCAGTTGCTTCCACATTTTTTTAGTGTGGGCACGATTACTCTCTTTTGGTCTGTTTCCAGTTTGGGTGTGATTGCAGGAAACAAACCAAAAGCTCTCCTTTTTTAATTATTTCACAATATTGTGAAATGGCTTAACAGAGCCACTTCAGGATATAAGCTAATTAAACACTGCTCCTTGGCAGAGGACCAGAAGAAGTGAATTTTTTTAACCTCTATTACTGCAGTGAACTTACAATTTTTTTAAAAAAAATTCCCTCGTCTTAAAGGGCCAGTTCGAAAACTGCACACAGCTGAATCTGCTGCTGTGACACTTTCTTGACCAGTCCTTTAAGACGGGAAAGAAGTACATTTGTGTACAGTATTGGTGTATATACACTTCTTGACAGGGTTTTTCAGAGATCTTTTAAAGATCACTCATTTTCATATACCTAATACACACACTTTTTGAAAGCAGCCCAAATAGGGTAGCTTGGGGTCCGTATGCCATTTGGATGTGAGGATTGCATGAAATATCATACTGGACCTCCTGGCAATCCTACCTAGCCCACTCCAGCCAGTTCCAGTACATTCCAACCCAGCCTTGTAGAAAGCCATTTGTCAGCATTTCATGCATACTCTTGGCTAATTTGGGATTTGTCACAACTGGAATATTCATTTATAAATACAGTATATATTAAATGTAAGTATTGAAAAATTGTTTTCAATTGGTGATCTTTTAATACAGTGGCTAGCAGGAACATTTGCAAACTTTGGAGAAGTGTCCAAACAGCGACAGGCATATTTATGTGTTTCTGCATATGTTATAGGGCAGTTCAAGAAGCTCCAAATGGATGTGGGGATAGAAGTCTCTTAGGTCTCTGTATTTAACAGAATGGACTGTAAAGAAGCTTGCAAGTACTTTCAGTTAAACCTATATACAGTATTGTGCTTCTGTGCTCAAGAGCCCTGCCATACAATCAATTTCCAGTTGTGGGAATAATGGAAGGGAACTCAGCTGAACATGAATACAAATTTCTTTGTGAAACATTGTGTTGAACATGAAAAGGTCAGAGAGAGTTCTGGATGGGGTGGAGATGTACGTACAGAAAGATAGAGAGAACAAGAGGCAAACAAACAAAGAAAAACTATAATAAGGGGAAATAAGGGCAGGATCTTATTTTCATTTAGAGATGGGAAATCTTGCTAGGGCAGGAGGAAATCTCAGCATGGTGAGGATCTGGAACATCACAAAGAATGAAAAATGAGTATTTGTTATTAATGATCTGCAGTCCACTCTAGAGAATAATGCTCCCTTTTCCCAGGTTCTAGATGTCAGGCCTGTACTTGCAGCAACTCCCAAACCTTGAACAACTATTGACACGCAACATGGATAGGGAGACAGAACAAGATCCTGCCATGTCCCTATATCCATTCTAGCAGCACCATTATGGGCCCCAACAATATCACCCACAACATCAGGGGGCTTATTTATTTCTTCATGTGCTAACACCTGGCTACTGCAAAGATTTTTGCCTGCAGCATCACCAGCTCCAAGTCAGCATTTCTTTCTAGCTGGCATGAACCAAGCTCAGAAAGCTTTAGTGATTCACAAGTATATAACAACTCTGTTTTGTCTCACTTAAAAACAAAAATTACTTTGATTATTTTAACAGTATTTTAATTAGAATAAGACTAAAGCTGCACCTGTGAAGCATGATTTTAGGGGGTATGCATTTTTCTTTCTCTCTGAAAAAGTTATATTCTAAGCCTATAATTCAGAAAGCTTTATTGCATGTTTATCGAGCATCTTTATAATTTTGCATAAGAAAGTCCATAATGCAGTTAATGTTTTTATAAAGTAATGGACTCAGTCTCCTTGACTTCAACAGCCAATTTGTTGTGCATATTGTTCTTAGCACCAGTTTCCTAAATACTTGACTATAGTTGCATTCTGTTGTAATATTACTCTTCCTCCGAATTATTTACACATATATACTGTATATGTAGGAGTATTGCCGTTGTTGTGATACAAGCTTAAAACGGAATTTTGAGGAAACTAGGGCTGCACTAGTTTTAAACTAATTTGACTTAATACTTTATTGTTTTACTCCTTTCAAAATCCTTTGTTTGCTGTATCCGAAACTTGCATTTTTCTTCTTTAAAAGTTATTTTATTTCCCGGTATTCATCTGAAACATTCAGTGGACTTAACCTTTACATAGCATATTATGTAAATTAACAGAAGCTTTGCATCCCTTCTGCTGGCCTGGCCCTAAGTGAGGAAGTGGGACTGGTTGGCACTTCTTCTTATCTCACCTAGAAATGTATTATAAAAATAAAACAACATAAAACAAAAAACAAAATATTGTGCCTGTATCCACTAAGCTGCACAAACTCTTAGACGGTATTACTGTAAACTAAACAAGATTTCATTTAAGGCATGTCTCACCATAGCTAGATGTGACATCTCAAAGAACAGGCACACTTGATGCATTAATTTAAACTAGAAAAATTTTTGTTCTAGCCACCACCAAGACCTGACATCTAGGCTCAGATGAATCCAGGAGTATGCACAAGTTGGGAAAGTAATGCCATCCAAAGGGAGATGTGATTTTCCTTTACTTGAATATTTGTGTCCTGCACAAGGAAGAAGACACTATTCTATTATGATTTATTTTGTTTGTTCCCCATCTTGTAGAATTTTCTAATTCTGTAAGAATTCCATTTTTATGCTTGTTTTGTATTTTGTGTTATAAGCTGCCTAGAGTGTTGCAATGACCAGATAGGCGGGGTATAAATAAATAAATAAATAAATAAATAAATAAATAAATAAATAAATAAATAAATAAATAAATAAATAAATAAATAAATAAATTTAGGGAATTCTTCAGTAGTCAACTGTGCAAACTGTGTGGCTTATGTTGCTTTCTTGCTTTGTTGCTTAGGGCAGATAATCCAGTCTGGTGGGCTGAGAGACAGCGACTGGTCTAAAGTCATCCGATGAGCTCCATGACAAAGCAGGATTTGAACCTAAACTGAGCTCCCTATTTAGTTTTAATGGATTTTCTTTGTGGCTATTGATAGGATTGTAGCCAAAATGGGGCCAGTGAGAAACAAAGGGAAACTAATACCATGTTTGTAGAACCAAACATTTGTAGAACTGTGCATACTGCCATACTGTGTGTGTATAAGGAACCCCCCCCCCGATGAAGACATAATAAGGCATAGTAGTGAAGTGCCAGATAGCGGGGGGTGGGGGGTGGTTGGTATTTGGAAAATTCAGTAATGTATCCTGGAAAAGACTGCAGGAGAGACTGGCTAGAATCAGAACACTCCACACTGAGATTTTGTTGGTAGTGCTACAGTACTTATATCACCAAAGTTACAGTAGGTCCCACTTGCACCACAATCCTTCTCAACAAATAAGGGTGTTTTCTTTTAATACTGTGGTAGACTACTGTTTTTGAAATGTCATACTTCAATTTTCAAACAGCTATTATGCTGCAGTAAAGGTTCCTAAAGAAACAGAAACTATGCTTTAAGCAAATCTCTTTAACGCCCATGGGGTTTATTCAGATTTAGAGATTTAGTAGTCATATTATGTATATGTAGACAAGTGTGATCAATAAGTGGCATTTAAAAGTCATCATTTTACCATAGAAC